CCCGCCACCAAAAAAAAAAAAAAAAAAAAAAAATCAATACAAAGTAGGTGGCCAGTTTGCTCAGTTGATTAGAGAATGGTGTTGGTAACACCAAGGTCAAGAGTTTGAATCCACACACTGGTCAGCTGCTCCCCCCAAAACCAAAAAACCCAAGATAGCCAAGATGGGAGGGAAACAGACAACGCACCTCACACATTCCAAGCTCTGAGATTTTCCAGTGTCCTCAACTGGTACTCAGGGAAGTAATTTTAACATTAGGTTATGCTAAAGCTAGTGAAAAATTGAAATGTTTTGAAACAAAACAACTCACGAATTCAGTAAAAACAAAAAAATTTCTAACAGTTGTCTTGTGTATTTTTTTATTGTATTGACACTTCATTGCATTTAATAAAGGTTAACACAGGTGATTCCTTACTGATGTTTATTTTTCTAAATTCTCAACTTTTCTAGAATTTATGACCTTTATAAAAAGTCTTCAATGTGGTATCTATGATGTTCTTTAAATAATAAAATTCAAGAGACATTTTATCTCAGTAAAAAAAAATACTGGATTCTAATTAAAGTATTACCAAACACCTGGGCAAGGTGTCTATTTCTAGTGGATTCTCTGTTGCTTGCTCAGGGCTGAGCTTCTACTGCAGCCTTCAGCCCACTCACTCCACTTCCAGTGCTTCGTGCAAGGTGGCTTCTCTGATTTAGCATTGCTCTCTGCCTATAGGCCTTTACACATTCATCGTATTTATAGGGTTTTTCCTCAGAGTGAACTCTCTCATTTTTTGAGATCTGACTTCCTGCAGAAGGCTCGCCCACATTCAGAACACCCAAAATGTTTCTCTCCTGGTAGATTCTGAGATGGCAACTAAGACCTGTCTTCTGACTGAAGCCTTTGCCACACTCTTTACATTGATTCAAAGGGTTTTTCTTCACTGTGAATTTGCTGATGCTCAACAAGATGTGAGCGCCGCCTGAAGGCTTTCCACATTCATTACATTCATAAGGTTTCTCTTCATTGTGGAATCGCTGATGGTCAATGAGGTCTGAGCTACAGCAGAAGGCCTTCCCACAGTCCATACATGCAAAGGTTTCTGTCCAGTGTGGAGACTTTGATGCTTCATAAGAACTGATCTCCGACTAAAACATGTGCCACACTGACTACACTGAGGGGGCTTTTCTCCACTGTGGATTTTAAGATGTTGGAAGAGGCCTGCCTTCTGACTGAAGCCCCTGCCACACTCTTTACATTTTAGGGCTTGCCCTTGCTGTGAAGCCCCTGGTTGCTGGAGACCAGCTCCGCAGGATTCGTTGGACCTGAATAGGTGGTGTGGATTCGATGAAAAGGAAGAGACCGACCACAGATGTCTAGTGCAAGTGTGGACACCAACCACAAGAATCTTGCTTTATTTATATTTTTTTACTTAACCTTTTACATGATGATTTATCTTTTAATCAAAACATTTCTTATTTCATCTCTATAGAAAAAGAAAAATCAGAATGTTCCAAAGCACTCATGCTCTGATAAAAAGACCCACTCATGCATCAATAGTTCACTCCAAAGCCTGTGGCTTGTGGCCAGAAAACTATACAATAGCAACATGCTTGGCTTTAAAACGTCAGACTTTTGGTCTGAATCATAAACGTTAACCTTCTTAGCTTACAATTTAACCCCTTTTTAATCTTACTTATACTTACTACTCTTAATTTTAATAACATTGATTAGTTTATGGTTAACAATTTAATATTGCTTATACTCTATATTTTATATCATTTTAATTTATAATAAAAAATCACAATGTTTATACCTTTTCTTTCCCTGCCAATAGACTCCGGGAACAGAACAGGGGACAAAGTGAAAAGTTAAATGATCCTACTCAAACTAACAAAAACACCATATCATTCTTATTTTATTACTAGGGAAACAACATGTTCTTGGTAAGTCAAGTGAAACTGTGGGAGTGGGGAAAACAAAGAAATCTGTAACTGGTTGATGATCAATTAGTTGTAAGCACCACTGCACTCGGACCCACCATCTCCCTGGGGGATGTGGATAGAAATCCAACATAATAACTTCATTCCACACGTACAAGAGCATGACCACAGCCACAATGGGTCCATACACACATCACTAACAAGAAAGATTAATAACAAAATTAAATTGAGCCAACCCATACCGGGAACATGCATCAAAAACACCTTTAGTACTGACAATGTATTTTAAATAAACCAGTTAATTTTGATGTAATTAAACATGTCCTTTGAGAAACTCCAGGGAATTTCCCAAAGCCATACTAAGCCAAAAGGTTAGGCTGTTTAATTCTGGGAAGCCTTGTCAAGCAACCAAGGGTGAACAAATAAGAAATTCCACGGAACCATGCCACACAAACAGGACCCCCATGTAGCCTGCAGAACAAGGGGTATCACTTCTCAGGCTCCCCTGCCATTCCCTATAGCAGAATGGCTCACAGCACCTGGTGCTGGGTAAGTTCCGCATGTCTGATGAAGGCCTTTCCACATTCTATACAAGGATAGTTTCTTCCCACTGTGGATCCTCCTATGTATTCGAAGTCATCTTATCCATGTCAAAGTTTTCCCACATTCATCACATTTATATATTTTTTCACCTGTGGCATCCCCATCCTGCATTTCCAAACTCCCATTAGGTTCACTGTCTCCTCTGTATTTGGCACACTGATACAGTTTTGTTTTGTCCATCAGACCCCTCCCTACATGATTCTGTTTCTTCACAAAGTTCCTGCTTCATATCCAACATGTTATCAGTTCTCACATGACCACCTGAAACAACAGACCATAAAATGTGAGAAGAAAAGACAACCCAAAAAGTGCAGTTTAAGAGACAGCTAGAAAGGTTAATCTTTATTTCAGGTTAATCTTTTTTTTAAAATTATAATATTGTTTAGATAGCTTTGATCATTTTTAAAAGTTCTTCAAACATGTTAGCAAACTATATTTCCTAATATTTTAGGTTAATATTAACAGAGGATATTATATCTTCTCTTTATTTAGTGTTCAGAGAAATATGCTGGTTAAGGTAGAAGGAATGGTAATAATACAAGTGTGGAAGTGAGAAAGAATAAAGCATGGTTAAGTTACCAATAGAATATGGTAAAGTTGATAGGATGTCACTTCTGTGATTACATAAGATTGTAAGTTCCATCTTGCTAGTGGACTCTTTCTATTGACACTTTCCCTTACTGACTTTGATGAAGAAATCCATTGTGTGGAGAAACCCACATGGCAAGGAACTGAGGGTAACCTCTGGCTAGCAGTTAGCTTTGTCCAACAGTCTGCAAGAAACTGAGTCCTGCCAACACCCACATGAGGTTGGAAGTGTATCCTTCTCCTGTTAGAGATGAAACCCCAACCCTAGCCAATACCTTGATCACAGCCTGTGAGAGACTGTGAAGCAGAGAACCCAGCTAAGCCATGCCCACATTCTTGACCCACAGAAACTGTAAGATAATAAATGTGTTGTCTTCAGCTGCTAACTTTGCGGTAATTTGTCAAATAACAACAGATAACTAATATTCCACTAGAACAAAAATACAAATACTGTAAGAACCACTACAATTAAATAGAGAAAAGTAAGGGAAACAAATCACACACTGAAAAGCATATATATGTATATGTATCTATATGCATACATATATGTATCTATGTGTATGTGTATAAATATGCTTATATTCATATTTATATATTTTTTGTATATATGACATATAAAACAGAAAACACAAGAAAATTATATTAAGATCAAACATAGCTGTCATATCAGTCATATTGACAAATGCAAATGAACTTAACTCACCCATTGGATCAAATTACATTTGACCACAAAGCAAAACTCAACTCTATTATGTATACGAGAGATACATCTAAAACAAAATGATTGAGAAAAGTTACAAATAAAGGACAATCAAGGGTAAATTAAGCAAATGCAAATAAAAAGAAGGAAGGCATTAAAATGTCAGTTTTAGGAAAAGGCCAAAGCATGAAATGAGAAAATGAAGAGTGCTTTATAATGTTAAAGAAAATAATCTACAATGAAGACATAACAAATATGAACAATTACTCAGAAAATAACAGAGGAGTAACTTTCCTAATGCACAAATTATAGGAGATATAAAAAGATAAAGAGAAAAACAAAATAGAAACTGTGATTGTCCTCTGTCTAAAAAAACACCAAATGGACAGAAAATAAAGATATACGAAATTTAACAAATAATATCAGCAAATTAAATGTTGTGGATATATACATACGTCAAGCTCTGTACCTGAAAAATAGAAACATCTTTTTCAGGTCTGCAGTAAATATTAAAGAAATCTGACCATTGGGCAACAGAAAACCACAATAAATTCTAAAACGTATAAATAACACAAACATTGTCAGATCACAATATAGAAAATGTAAAATTAATAACAAAATCAGAAAACAAACATGCCCTTCCATCTGAAAATTTCAAAACTTTCAACCAATTATTGGTTCAAAGACAAAATAAAAATGTAAATTTTCAGATTTTCTAGAAAATAATAGTAAAAACACTACAAGGGAGCTTCAAAGAGTTTGTGGAAAAACAGAATTGAAAGATAATATGAATCTTTCAATGAACTTTTTGAGGAAGCTTCATGTGTTTCAAAACGTTTGGGATTCATATAAACCAGTGTTCACTGAAATATTCACAGCATCAAATATTTATATCAGTAATAAAGGGAGAATGAAAACAGAGGGAGAATGAAATCAATTCAGCTCAAAAGTTAAAAAAGGTCAGCAAAATAAACCAAGATAGACTTACTAAGTGCACGCTTTATTGGCTTTTCTTCCTTTCCTGTTTCAATGCTCTCTCCTTATGCTTCCTAGGATCACCTTTGATACAATTTACTGCAATCTAAAATAAATAAGTAAATATACATATAAACCAAAGGAGATCATAAGGAAGGAATTAACAAAAATAAATGCAGAAATAAATTAAATAAATATAAAAAAAACCCCACTAATGTTTAAAACCATGGAATATATTACTCTGAACTCATGCATTTTAGGAAAAAATATACATATGATTGTGTCCAGGAAATATCCTAGAAGCAGTGTTACCTTAGTGGTAAAGAACATCCCTAGCACCCAGAGTTTGTTCTCTACTATCATTCTCCATTAAAAAGAACCAGGGATCCTTCAGAAATGCTTGATACCAGATCTGAGAATAAGGAAGGTACAAGGTGAGCCTGGAACAATTTATTTTGTTCAGAAAGCAAGCATTCAAAAATTAATAGGGTAATGGAAACACAGATAGGAGCAAGACTGAAGATGTCCACATAAGCCAAAGATACACCAACTTGAGCATTAAATAGAGTAATGACTATGGTGGATTGAAACACACTGATTCGATGAAAATCTGTAAGCCCATAATGATACTAACATAGATAAAGTCCTAAAATCTCACATCACTTTAAGGTACCCATTAAAACACTCCTTGAATTTGAAAATTGGTAAATAGAGGGGGAAAACTAAGCATTAATCATGACTTCCTAGTGGGAAGTGATTGAATAGACATATTTGATGAGGGAAAGCTCTATTATAAATAAGAATGCCAGTTAATAATGTAGAAGAAATGAAAGAATTATAAAATCATTCTGTAACTCCTGATAAAATGAGTGACCAACACAAGGATTATCAAACATTATGTATTTTGTTGATGGGAACTGGCCATCCACATAGTGCCAAAGTGACACCACACAGTTAGTTACAAGAGGAAAAATAGCTGTTCAATGGTGGGATCAGACTATTGTCATCCTAAGACAGTGATTTAATTGTGGGTCACCCAGATATTAGTGTCTCCGATTACCAAATATTAATTTTAGCACAAATGTTTAATTTGAATCCTTCAAGCCTTTAGATCTCACTTCTAGTTTACAGGAAATATAGGGGATGTTGAAAAATAAAATAAAAAATAAAAAAAAAGAAATTCAGGGTATGTGGTTAGAAAAAGTAAATGACATACTGAGGAAGTAAACAGAAAATTCCAGAGGGTAGGACACTGGCTCATCAAAAAGACTCTGTTATGACGAAAAAAGAGGGGGACTGTTATAGGGTAATAAATAATTAAAGGGCATAAAAACCAGATGTATTGTTTGGCCCTGGTTTGGACAAATCAGCTTTAAAGCCATTTTGGAAAAAAATGGACCAATTTGAATTTGGGCCTTAATTACCTTATGCTCTCATTATGTAATTAGAGCATGGAAATAGCACATCTGACTCTATTGATGAACAACAAAATGTTAATATATAAATGTATTATTATGGCCCTAGAGTTAAATGCAGAAGGAATTCAAGTATGGAGATCACTGAATCTCAGTGGTTAGAGAATCTTCATGGAAGATAATGGGAAGTGGGTGGACACTGCAGAAAGAGAGCCAGTTAAGAATTTCTCCTTCTCAGGTAGGTACAGGGGGTGGGGCAGGAAATGGAAAGGAGGTGTAGTGGATTGAATTATATTCCCTCAAAACTCATTGAAACTTGAGTTGTGTCCAAGTTTTAGGTATTAGAAACTTAGTCCCCGCTTTGACTGTTAAGAGGGTGGGAAATCCTCTTATGGTAATTGAAAGGTGGAGCCTTGAAGAGGTGACTGGATTACACAGTAGTGAATGGATTAAAAATGGTGGTCAGGGGCATGGTTCTGAGGGCTTTAAAAGAAGAGTAGAATCTGTCTTGCTCTCTCTCTGCTTCCACCATCTTGCAATATGAGACCCCTGGGTCACTGTTGCCACCACCAGATGGACTTTGGACTTCCTAGCCTCAGAAAGTGTAAGCAGTAAGTTTCATTTTCTTTATAAATTACCCAGTTCCAAGTATTTTGTTATAAGCAACAGAAATGGACTAATACAGGATGCTTACAAACTGATCCAGGAGGCTGGAAAATAGCAGTTGACCAGAAGCCACCAGGCCAGAAGAGATAACCAGCATGGCATGGCCTGTAGAAAGAGCATCAATGATCTTCCTGAACTTTAATATTCCTCAGGGAGTCTTCTCATCCTAGCTGGCAGACTTGATTTCCTGTGCCCACACCTACCCTGAAATTTACTTTGAAGTTGTTGCTTTACTCACTATGGTTGCATAAGAGTTTTTCTAGACTATACCCAAGGGAAGGGCAAATCTTTTAAATGTGGTGTACGAGGGTACTTCAGAAAGGTTCGTAGAAAAATATAAGTAGAAAGTAATATGAATTTTTTGAAATACCCTCATATATGTGTGTCACCTTGTGATTTTTGGTAAAGAAAGCCCATAGTGTTTTAATTATCATCTTTAAAAATATTACAATCACAAATAAGGTGTCAACAAATTCTTCCCTCCCTTTTTTCAAAGTTGTACTTATCAAAAGCAATTTGCCCTGAAAGTCCCAGTATCAACATCTCCTTTTCTGTCAAGCCTCTGCTGACTCTGGTCATAATTAATGTGCCTTAACATTATTTATTTGAACCTTATAATTACTTGTTTATGTAGCTTATTCTCCTTCATTAAACTGTAAGTTTCTCAACTGCAAATTCATCTCCTACTCATCTCTGCATATATCTTTGGTATAATTAATTACACACAGGAGGTGCTTAATAAATACTCTATGCTTAAAACTTTTAGAAGCATATGCTGGGGTTAGATTAACACTGAAGGGCTGCTGTAATTAGATTTATGGAGACTTTTGGTTTTAATGAATAAGGAGAGTCCATAAAGCTTAGGTTGACATTTATAGTATGCTTTATTGCTTTTCTTTAATATTATTAGATAAAAAAAATCTTAAATTATTAATATTTTCAATTTACAACTTCTCACTATTTGTTACAGCTACACCCACTGACAACATAATATAAAGCAGGGACATCATTATATTTTCTCATTTTCTTCCTGACATTACACTCTCATAATTTTAATCTCTATTAAGTTCTCACAGCCAAAGAACTGCAAACTTCAGGGGGATTGACTGATACAGTTATTCAGTATGTCAATCAACTTGGGTTTGCAGAAGACTTATATCACTTTTCCCATCTCTGGTTCTCATATATCTGATCTTATTTCTTTTCTTTTTAAAAGTCAAATATTGCACACATCTTTCTCAATGCGACCTGAGAAAAACCAAGAGACATTCTTGGCTGACAAGTATCATTCCTTTAGCTTGATTCCTGTAGGCCCTGTCCACAGGTTGAAGACACATTGGCATCCTACTTTCCCATACTAAAAGCTGGGAGGTCCCTCAAACTCAGCTGCTCCCCCATCTACCAACAAGTAGTGTTGTGGACTCTTTTGTATTCACTATGCAGTTTTCCATCTTTCCTTCTGGAAGGACAGCCAAAAGATAATTGGATTTACTTTGTACTTTGACTTGGAATATACTTTATGTGCCTTAAATGTAAAGTGGGATAGGGACTAGAGAGAATAGCTGAATGCTTGTACTGGTGAAATTAACTTTAGGGTATGTGAACACATTTATATTTTGATAGGAATTTGAAACCAATATACCAAGTATAAAAACTCTAAAGGTCCTAAACGCTTATGTTTTATATCATTTTGATTTCAAATAACACTTCTAGGGCCGAGCCCGTGGCGCACTCAGGAGAGTGCAGTGCTCCCGCCGCGGGTTCGGATCCTATACGGGGATGACCGGTGCGCCCACAGCGTTCACTGGCTGAGCGCAGTGTGTCCGGTCTCAAAAAGGACAAAAAACAAAACAAAACAAAACAAAAAAAACCCAACAACAAATAACACTTCTATGGGAATAAGATCAGGTAGAAATTTGGTTTACGTTTGTCACAGGTAATGCTGTTGGTACATATTTTATAAAATTCACATAACTCCTCAGAAGAACTGGGTATTCATTAAGTCTCCCTAAGGAAGAAAATGTGAATAGCAAACTAAGACCTCCACAGGGCATATGTATGTCAGTATGAGGGAAATGGGTGCCTTTCGGATATATGTTATTTATTAATCTGAGGGAAATGTGTATTTTTCATGTGGTTGTTTCACGACACATATCCCTCACCTTTCAGATATGTTTTCTGTGATTTGTGTTTTTTGTTAAAGCAGCATACTTTTTCTCATTAACCCTGACAGTTTGTATTTTACAGTAGTTAACAGAAAATTAGGAGGTTAAATGGAAATCATGGTCCTTGCATCTTTGCTTCTCTGACCAAAAATTGAATGGTGGTGTGAATGTTGCTCAAGGAGTAAAATAATAAAAGGGGAAAAAATAAACAGCATAAAGAGCAGGAACATCCAGAGCCCAAGCTTCTCTCAAGATGGTAACTGGCAACACTACATGTACAAAAATAATATATCATTTTGATTTCAAATAACTTGCTACCTCATCCATACTCAATCAGACCTGGCTGTTCCTATGAAAAGCATAAAGACAGGCATGTCACACTGCCACTAAGGAAACTACTTCTTCCAGGAAGGCTCTTTTTTATACTTACCACTTTCCTATACTGGGGTTGTATCCCAAAGGTCACTCTTAAGCTGGATATTCAATGACTTCTCTGGTGAATGTAGAGATCTTGCCTCCTTCCAGAGCACTTCTTGTACGCATTTGCTTGAACCTAAGGATAAAAAATTATTCTTATTGTACATGTAAGGAATTTTGATGAGATTAAATAACTTGCCCAAGATCACAGAGCGGACAAGGGGTATGATCTAGATATAATATGAAGGTACTTCAAAAAGCTCATGGAAAAATGGAATTAAAATATAATATGGCCAGTCAAGATGGCAGAATAGACAGTCCCCAGTGTCACTCTCTCCCACAAATCAACCAATTTACAACTATTAAAAAGCAACGACAGGGCCGGCCCGGTGGCGCACTGGATAGTGCGCTGCTTGGGAAGCGCGGCGGAGCTCCCGCCCGAGGGTTCGGATCCCACGTACAAACCGGTTCCCGCTCACTGGCTGAGCAAGGCGCGGGAGCAACGCCGAGGGTTGCGATCCCGTTGCCGGTTCCCGG